GGCCTTCTCTGCTGTGAGGGCGGCAGAGCAGTGGCACAGGCTGCCCAGAGAGGTGGGGGAGTCTCCCCCTCTGGAGCCATCCCAAACCCGCCTGGACGCCGTCCTGTGCCACTGCTGGAGGTGCCCCTGCTCTGGTGGGGGGTGGGATGGGGGAGCTCCAGAGGGCCCATCCAGCCCTTACCAGTCTGCAATTCTGTGAAAGGAGCATTAATGCTGTTGAAAAGGACTCGATGGGCAAGGGAAATCCACATTTGGCAGTGTACTTTAATTGCGAGCTCGCAGGGCTGGCCTGAGAGACGGAAGGCCACGTGCAGCCGTCTCCTGGTGGCCTTCCTCAGAGAAAGTGGCTTTGGACCATCTGCCTTAGGTGTATGACTGCGCAGTGGGTCATCTCTGTTAACATGTTTTCATCTCTTAGAATTAACAGAACATGTTTGCCTTTACTGTGCACTATGTAATGCTTTTAGGGCTCCGTACCCGCATTTGTCCAGAGTTGTAGTGATAATGTTGTAGATTTGACTCAAATTTTTGCGTATTTCCTAGGTGCGACTTGTCCAGAAGAAAGATACGGGACACGTGTATGCAATGAAAATCCTCCGTAAAGCCGATATGCTTGAGAAAGAGCAGGTGAATGGCCATCTTGAGCAGCAATGCTCCCGTCTGTGTTTGACCTGACTGCGGGAGGGAACTGTGATGTGTGGAGAAGAGCAATAGGCATCTGTGGTCTCGGTTTACTAGCTAAAAAATCCTGTGGGTGTTTTTCCTCATTTTTTACGGAAGAAATAGGTCAGAAAAATCTCGTATGAATTCATAAGGACCCATCTTCTAGTGGGCTCCTCCAAGTTCTTTTATTTTTTTCCTTTTTTTCAACATTCCTTGTAGCAATGCAGGAGTTTAAGGAATACATATAGGAATACAGAAGTAGTTACGCGCTACTGTATGTACGTGAATGCTCTCAGAAGAGTGTTTCACCCAACCTCGTAGTCTTTCAGGTCTCTCAACCTTGCGCAGTCTGCCTGGAAGCTGCAATGGTAATGCTCTTTTCCAAGAGGCTCCTCAGTCTGAAGCAAGGCAGGAGCGAACCCGCTTTCTGCTTTGAAACGGGGGGAAGCAGAGCATTTTTGTAAGGACTAGGTTTGTATTTCTCCAGTGTAAAAGGAGGACGGTTCTATGTATCTGATTTATGTTCCTCCCTCTCATTTTACGATGATGTACGTTACATGTGCACACGTGCAAATGATTCAATATAGTTGTCAAGATCGGTGTTTTACTGCATTTCTGATTTATGGAAAGAGCTATAAATATCAAAGTGATACGACTGCTGGAATTCTGACTCGGAGAGACATAAAGTGGCAGCTTTTAACGTTTTTAAGGCTTTCCTCTGCGAGTACGTCTGGGAATGTAATGGGCTGAGACAATAATTTTTGTTCGGCACTCGGGATGAATCTAGGAAGCACTCTGCATGTGTGTTCATAAAATCAGGAGCTGGTTTCCATTTCTGAAAGTACTTGTTTACAAACCAAAGAGCAGTGTGTTCGCACAGGAGCTTTATGCGGCACTGCGAAATTAGTGCTTTGGTCTAAATGCGCGGGAATAGGCTGAAGCCATACCCGAAGGACACGCTGACTGTTTAGAGAGGAGCGAGGTTGTGAGAGATCTAATCTTGAGATATTTTTCTAAAAAATTGAGATATTTTTGTATATAGGATTAACCTGTTTTTATAATCAACCGTATGTTTCTCCTTCTGAGTCTTCCCACAGTAATAAATTCTGTTTTGGAGTTGTCTGTAGTGGTTTTAAGATAAGTGTTTTCATAGTGTCCCGTATCACTTGTACAGTTCTGATTTGAAGGGGACCCAAATGCCGTAAGAGTTGAAAGCATAAAAACATAAATATGGGTAATCTTTCTGTACGGAACCTTCTTGTTCAGGAGGGTGGTTTAAATTTCTCTAGCTTGAGTTTTTGCTTAAAAGAACGAGGTTAGTGCCCTCTTGCCTTCCTACGTATGTCTAAATATATGGCAGCCACAGTCCCACAATAACTATAAATTTACTCAAGTGTAAATGTCCCGAGGCAAAAGTCCCCGTAAACTTTCCAGGGGAAACTTTTGAGTGTAAAAGCGTCTTTCAGATCTTCATGCTGAGGAGTAGAATGGAGTTGGTGTTCAATGGGATTTATCAGACAGGAGAAAAAAATATTCTGGAGAAATAAACCAGTTTAATGAAATATTCTCAGCCTTTTGCTGTCAGAAGCATGATTTGTGGATTGGATTTTGAACGTGTTACGCTATTTTATTACCTGCAAATACTGAGGGGTAAAAATATTGAAGCTTTGATGGAGTTTTTGCCCTCACGCAGAAGTTTGACTGCTGTCTTTTCAGTATTTGATGCTTTTCAACATCGTACTTGAATTGCCTGTGAAATAAACGCACGTAATAAATCACGGACTTGTCATTAATCGAATGCATATGTGTGTCTCCAGGTTGGCCATATTCGTGCGGAGCGGGACATTCTAGTGGAGGCAGACAGTTTGTGGGTTGTGAAAATGTTCTATAGTTTTCAGGACAAGCTAAACCTCTACCTTATCATGGAGTTCCTGCCTGGAGGTAACTACCTCTTGTTCGGAGATTTCTTTCCTCTTGTTTGGGGATTTCTAACTCCTTCATTACAAATGTAGTCTGGGACGGGAGTGTATGTGGTTACAAACACAGGAGTGGTGTTTGGACATTACTTTGGAGGAAACAAGTCATAAAGTCTTCTGCTTTTAGGAATGAGGGTGCCTTTGGGTCAGGCTGGAGGTTATCTGCTTGGGTCTTCTGCTGCAGATGTTCGAAACTTGGCCTTAATGTTCTGCTAGTTCTTACCCTTACTGTGTGCTGGCTGGCTGCAAAACCATAACATAACCAGCTTTGGATTTTTCTAACCTTTTGCTTTTAGCTGCCTTGCAACTTTTAAGGTCCTTTTTCCAGAGGAGATGATGTTTGTCCTTGAACGATAATGCTACCGTCACTGGCTTCAGAAGAAAGCTATACTAAAAGCCTGTAATATATTTGACTAATGAAACCACAAGGATTCTTTCTGAGATGACAATGCACAAATACAATCTGGTTTTTGTACCAGCTGGGTAGCTGAAAGTATCTATTTTAATCTGCGATTCAGATGTGTGGTGAAGAGTGGCAGTGCGTAGGGGCTCTTGTTTAAGGGATGTTTCTATACTGTTGCTCCATACTATTTAGCTGTCTCAGTAAGTTTAATGCAATTACAGTATAAGCCTCTCCACACAGAGCGATACAAGGGGAAATACAAGTTTGTCCCAGAGGTGCTGGGGAACTGTATTACTTTATACGAGATCAATTTAGATTTCCTGAGGTTTTAAACAACTTAGTTCTTTTCTTTGCAAATGTCTTCAAAATTAGCAAGAGTGCGTTTGCTTGTATTTATTTACCTTTGCTATTTGGGGGGGGGCTTCTAGGTGATATGATGACACTGTTGATGAAAAAAGACACTCTGACAGAAGAGGAGACACAGTTCTATATAGCCGAGACGGTGCTAGCCATCGATTCCATCCATCAGCTGGGTTTTATCCATCGGGACATAAAACCAGACAACCTTCTTCTGGACAGCAAGGTACGTACTAACCACCGGCTGCGGAGCAGTAAATAGCTCTTGTAATTTTTAATATTGACCTGAACTAGTGTTGACAGTTGTGAAAGAAGACGGTGTTTCTTTCTTAGCCCCGTTCCTTCTAGCTTCGAGGACGTATCTGCCATATTCCTGGGGGGGGGGGGGGGCGAAAGCCAAACCAAGCAAATCCACCTCTCCTCCACCTCCAGCTGTATTCATCCTTCGCTTAGGAGCTCTCTTCTGGCAGTTGTTTCAGTTATTTTTGATTATTTCAGCTGCAATTTAAAACACAGAGTTTCAGTTCTCCCTTCAGTCAAAGATGTTTCCTTTTGGGTCTCACATCTGTTACGCTTGCGCTTGCCAACTACTGGGTAGATGATCATCTCCAAAGCGGAGGATGTAGCTGTTCCATTAGCGAGCCTGAAAAGGGAGAAGTTATCTCCCTGGGAAGGAGGATGTATTTCTGACGGCCGGCCGGGCTACCCCGTTGCTTCTAGGTGCTTATTGGAGGCAGTTTGCAGACAGCTTAATTCCTATTGCTTACTACAAGTTTGCTTAAAATTTAGCTTGTTTGGAAAAAAAAAAAAGTTTGCCAACAGTAAATAATTGTACTTTACCACTAGGCAGCTGATAATGCAGTGTTGGAATTACCGTTGTAAGTCAGTACGTCTACATCTAGGTGTAGATAAATTCAGGACTTTGAAAACGATGTATATTTTAGATCTACATCTGACAATTGCACCTAGTCGGTGTTATGAACTAGGACAGATCCAATCCCTGCATTTAAGGTGTTCCTCCGTATCTGTTGGAGTCAAGGCACAGAGCGGGGAGCACAGCTCCCTCTGGGGACGTTTGCTTTCACTCGGAAGCAGTCAGCAGCTCGCTGGAGCAGAGGTTTCTTGAAGTAAGTAGTTCCTGGGCTTCCTCTGTGCAGTAGTGAGGAAAGTGTTAATAGCTTGATTTTATGTACACATCCAGTCTTGGGCTAAAACACGAAATGCAAAAAGAGCGCATCTATTTATTATGCATAAGAAAGGGAGGGGAAGAGGTAGAAAACTTTACTTGCTGTGATAATCACAGAATTGTTGAGGTTGGAAGGGACTTCTAAGATCATCAAAGCCAACCATTACCCTACCCTGACAAAACCACTTCTAAACCACGTCCCCAAGTACCACCTCTACTCTTTTTTAAAACACCTCTGGGGATGGCGAATCCACCACCTCCCCGGGCAGCCTCTTCCAATGTCTAATAACCCTTTCAGTGGAAAAATGTTTCCTAATATCCAGTCTAAACCTCCCCTGCCATAACTTGAGCCCATTTCCTCTCATCCTATCACTTGTCACCAGGGAGAAGAGGTCAGCCCCCACCTCTCTACCCCCTCCTTTCAGGGAGTTGTAGAGAGTAATGATGTCTCATACTGTTTTTATATTTTGGTTTTGTTTGTTTGTTTTTTCTAGGGCCATGTAAAACTCTCTGATTTTGGTCTGTGTACTGGACTAAAGAAAGCCCACCGAACCGAATTCTACAGAAACTTGAACCATAGTCTTCCTAGTGACTTCAGTAAGTTATTTGGCATCAGAAGGGTATCTGCGTACTTTCTGTCGGTGCCTGACATAAGTCATGTCAATGTGAGGTTAGAAGGCTGTAGAGGGAAATCTCATAATCAACATTGCATCATGAGGTGTAATTTTGCTTTTTCTGCAGACCATATTTATAAAAATAATTTCAGTTACTTTAATGTACATAAACATCTTCATTTCTAGAAGTCTGTCTTTGAAATAGACTCTGCTGTAGCCTTTCTCTGCATGCGTAATAAACCTTGAGTGAAAACTCAGTGGGACTTGGTAGCTGCCAGCTCCATCTCATGTGTTACTTAAATTAGTAACTGAGCACACAGTCTCTTTGAATATTCAGTAATTTTCTCAAGGGAAATAACTCTGATCATGGAGTTATAAAAACACTGAAAGCATGGATCGCTGAAAGCAAGGCTTTAAAATATTTCATAGAATCATGGAATGGTTTGGGTTGGAAGGGACCTTAAAGACTATCCATTCCCACCCCCTGCCCTGGGCAGGGCCACCTCCCCCCAGCCCAGGTTGCTCCAAGCCCCGTCCAACCTGGCCTTCAACACCTCCAGGGATCATGGCTCCCCTCCCTGATCCAGAGTCCCTCCCCAGCTCTCCTGGAGCCCCTTTAGGCACTGGAAGGGGCTCTGAGCTCTCCCCTTTTCACCTTCTCTCTCCAGGCTGAACCCCCCCAACTCTCCCAGCCTGTCCTCCCAGCAGAGGGGCTCCAGCCCTCCCAGCATCTCCGGGGCCTCCTCTGGACCACAAATTTAATCAATATTACAGTCTGGAAGTGGCTGATAGGTTTAGGGTATTGACAGATGTGCTCTTTGGGACCATCTGTACCGGTAGAAGAGGTTACATCCCTTGCTTTGCTCTTGGTGGCTGTGGCTGCCTGCTGGAGGCTGCTGACCGCTCTGCGGGCGCTCCTCAGATCGCGCCAGGTCAGCTGAGCAAGGCAAAGCTGAGCTGCCTTCACGAGTTCATCTCTGCTGATGTGGCTTGTCCTCAGTGAGGTGAATCAAGGTGTGCTTCCACAAATAACTCCCGCTTCGCCCTGGTGGGAAACTTTGGCCGCAGGGGCCAATGATGAGCACGTGGGGACTGTGACCTCTTACCAGCACAGCTGAACACCAAATGGGCTCTCTGCCCAGGCCCTGGCTGCCTTTTTTTTTGATGTCGTAAAGGAGATTTTTAGTGTAAAGGTTTTGGGAGTAAAAATACACGTTGGGTGACCAGTAGGATGCAGTCACATGTATTCCAATCTCCTTTAGCTTTCCAGAACATGAATTCCAAACGGAAAGCAGAGACTTGGAAGAGAAACAGACGGCAGTTGGTAAGTCGGGTTCACCTGCTTGGAAATGTTCTCTGCCGAGCTGCTGCATTCAAAGGGCACGTGTATTTCAATGACAGGCGTTAATCCATTTCAGAGTCCTGAACAATGCTGAAATAAAAAGATTCACGCTTTTTCTTTTAAAAGGAGTGTCTCCTAGTTTGTCCTTCATCCATCTGTTGGACAGCCGGTGACATATGTGCCTGAGATAGCACTGCCATAATTATTTACGTTGATATCTGATGCCTCTCAGCTAAAACTACTGTTTTTTGCCACTTTCAATATAACAAAGGGCTAATGAGCCATTCCGAGGTGTATACAGACAGGGGTACCTTCTCCCATTTCCCTCATGGTATTTTAAGACTCTTT